CGGACTCAAACCTGGGACCTTTCAGTCCACAGACGCTCTATCACTGAGCCAACCAGTTTCGGCTACTTTATTATTTTTTGATGTAGATCTGCCTGGAATTTAGATCTGTCTGTGCTTTGAGATAGAAGTTTACTCTTATTTTCTTTCAGCCCTATAGCTACTGGTGTCAGTGCCATTGATTAAATAGCCTACTCTTGCCCATTAGAATTGAGGTGCTACCATTATTATATATGACATTTTCATATTTATTTGGATATTTGGGAGTCTACTGCTCCATTAATTTGTTTATCCTTGTACTAAAGCCACACTGCAAAGGCCTTCTTGTAATTATTTTTGGAATTGTATTAAATTTATACATTAATTTGGGGATAACTGATATTTAAATTTTATTTTTTTCCATTCACAAAAGTGGCATTTATATTTATTTTGATCTTTTTAAAGAACATATTATGGTTTTCTTCATTTAGGACTTGTATCTTTCATGTTAAAAATATGATTTATTTTAATTTTTTAATATTATAAATATAATTCTCTTACACTTTGTCTACATGAAAATGTCAACTTTTAATGCTATAGTTTTTTGAACTGTAATGTTTTTTATTCATGATTTAGAAACATTTTTATAACTTTTTATAGATCTGTTTTTTTATGTATCATTATAATCCAAGCTTTAAAAAATTGCTATTTCAAATTCTCTATAAACATTTTTAATAGTTGCATGATTTTTCCTCACTGTAACTTTTAAACCATAATTCTTCATTCTTTATCTGTAGCTCAAGGTAGCAGTATTTCTGGTTCTTGAGTCGTGGATTCTTTTAAAATGTTTTAGAAAAAGTGTTAATTTTAGAAAGGCATAGAGGTAAGAAAGATATCACCAGTAATTCTTTTACCAAGTAGCTCCTAATTTTTTCACAGACACCCACAACATTTTGGAGCTAGTTAGAGGTAATGGTTGTATAGCACTTTTTAAATTAATGTTTCTATTGATTTTTAAAGGGAGAGGGAAGAGGGAGGGGAGAGAGAAAGAGAGATGGAGAGAGAGGAGAGAGAAATATTGGTCGGTTGCCCTTCATATGCATCGGGATCAAACCTGAAACCTGGGCATTCGCCCTAACCAGGAATCGAACCAGTGATCTTTCGATGCACAGGAGGACACTCAACTAGCTGAGCCACATTGGTCAGAGCCTTTCAGTTTTTTTTTGTTTTTTTTTAAACTTCCCTCTTTTATTATTTAAAATTTTTTTTATTATTTTTAAATTTATTTCAGAGCGGAGAAGAAGAGAGAGAGACAAAAACATCAATGATGAGAGAGAATCATTGATCAGCTACCTTCTGCACACCCCCACTGGGGATCGAGCCCGCAACCTGGGCATGTGCCCCTGTCTGGAATCGAACCTGGGACCCTTCAGTCTGCACATGAATGCTCACTGAGCCAAACTGGTTAGGGCTATTGCATTGTTTATCTTAAATATTTGTCTGACTTGTAGACTATAGCCTAGGATTGATTTCTGCCAGTAAAATTCATGGTTTAAAGGGTGTGAACCGTTTTAAAACTTAATTTATATAACATAAATGTAGGCATGGTCCATTTCAAATGATCATAATGTAATGGCCTTGCTTTAGCAAGGCTAGTCGATAATTGTACTGTCTTAAATCTGATTTTCATGGGTCCATTCCAGGTGACATTGGAGCTTCCACTGTGGGTAATCTAGTTCATTTTCATGCTTATACTTAGTTTTTCCCAAAAGGTCCCAGTAAAGCTGTAATGTTGGAAAAGGATTAATTTGAAATATAGCCTTCTGTCACAAGATTCATGAGATGCAGTTTGTAAAAATGCAGCATTTATTACTGATCCTGTCTGTTCTAAAAAAAAATCAGATTGCCATAATAAAAAGCACAGTAGGTATCCTTCAGAATCTCATTACAGACTAATGTGTCAGATTTAGTAGTCTTAAAATATAGGACAACGCTCAGGAAAACCAGTGCTTGCAGAATTTTATCAGTGGACTAGTTAAGCCCGTGCCCGTGTCCCAGCTGTGCTGGTGGATACTTTTATATTCAGCAGGAGGGCGTTATTTAGGTTTTTTTTTTGTTTGTTAATTCCTTCACTCCTTCATCAAACCTTTACTGAGACCTTGAGGGGAGTTTCTTTTTTTTTTTTTTAAACAACTTTATTGAAGTCAGATTCACATACCATAAAAATCTGCACTTTGTAAGTGTACGATGCAGTGATTTTTTTTTTTAAATCGTAAGCTTATAGAATTGTGTAACCATTCCCACAATCCAGTTTTAGAACAACATTCTCATTATCCCCAAAGTTCCCTGATGCCAGCTTATCCTTGATTTCATTCCTAGCCATGGGCAATTACTAATGGACTCAGTTTCTATATATTTACCTTTCCGCAACATTTCGTGGAATCATAGGATCTGTGCTTCTGACATCTTTCCCTTAGCATAGTATGTTCAAGGTTCATCCATATTATGGCATGTGTCAGTACTTTATTCCTTTTGTTGCCAATAGTATTCCATTGTATTGATACACCACTTTTTATTTATCCATTCATCTGGGAAACAGCTGTATGCCCTAAAAACTTAAAGTGATTTTCTTGCTTTGGTGCTTTTGGAAAATATTAAAACATTCACTTTTGGTTCAAGTGCCCCACTTAATTAAAAAACATGCCCCAATTCATTAATGTCTGTATAATAAATGCCACGGAGGCAGCCAACCCCCCACAGTAATGCCAGAGAACGTTCTTGGAAATAGGAGCGTCTAAGATGAGGAGAGAGAGCTCCACAAAGTGGGTGCCCCTTTCATTGTGAGGAATTACCGTGTAACTGAATAGATATGAGAAGCCCTGGCCAGCTTACTTGGTGGTTGGAGCGTTGGCCCATGGAAGGGTTGCAGGTTCAGTTTCCTAGTCAAGGGCACATACTTTGGTTGTGTTTCAATCTGATCACATTGGGGCGCATGTGGGAGGCAACCAGTTGAGATCTCTCCCTCCTTTCTCTCTCTCTCTCTCTCTCTCTCTCTCTCTCTCTCTCTCTCTCTCTCTCTCTCTCTCTCTCTTCCTCTCTTCCTCTCTTCCTCTCTTCTCCCCTTCCTCCCTTTTACTCTGTCTGAAAACCAATAGGAAAAATATCTTCTAGTGAGGAAAAAAAAAAAAAGGTGAGAAGAAATGAAAAACCTTAAGCTGACATGGTTATAAATCAGCACCTATATAGCATGTTCACCACAAGCTAAAGGACTTTAGATTCATGAGGTTGGACATGTGTGTTCTTCTTGATTCACTAGTCTTAGTTAATCTGGATTTGTAACCCAAATCCAGGTCAATTAAGATCTCCCTAGGGGAGAAGTCACTTTGGCCACATTTACCACAGTAGCAGGCTTTGATCATTGGCTGGGGTGGATTAGTGATGTGTGCCACAGGCACAGAATTGAGAGGTAATGTTGGTTCTTGTTGACTCTGTGCTAGTGTTTTCTGGTATAGACAGATGACCTGAGTAAAGGTTGGGTTTATGAGGGAGAGGACTTTTGTCATAGGAATAAAGTATGTTTGTCTTGGTGCTATGGGATGTAGCAGAAACTAGCTGGGGTCAGCATGGGGGTGGGGAGGGGAGGAATACAGATGGTGCTGCTAATTACATACTTTATGTATGCTGTCTCTTAAATGTCTTTAAGCCTCAGTTCCTTTATGTGTAAAATGGAGATAATAATACCTATATCATAATGTTGATGAGAGGAGCTAATGAATCCGTGGTATGAAAATATTTTACCACCCACAGAACTAGAAACTCTTGGAGTGTTATTATTACAGGTGTGGGGTAGGCGGAGCAGGAAATGCCTGCAGTTAGGCAAGGTTGGAAAGGATGTGGTGGCCTCAGGGCCTTTGCATGCCCTCTGCCCAGCCTGCTGCCTCTTGCCACATCCAGGTTTTAACTCCAAAGTTACCTCCATTCAGGCCACTTAATTTAAGCTGGTTCTTGCCCTCTCTCCAGTTACCACTTCATCCTGTTTTATTTTCTTCAAAGTTCTCATCAACTAAAATGGTTTGGTTAGCCTATTTGTTTGTGTGTCTTCCCTGTTAGAACTGTGCAAACGTGGTGAGGCATAGACCTTGTGTGTCTCACTGTGTATCATCAGAGCCTAGAATAGTGCCTGGCACATGGAAGGTCAGGGTTTCTTAATGTTTGTTGCACAAGCGAATGGAAGGGTCTCTGAAGTCCACAGATCTAACTGGGCTGAGGGCCAAGGAGTGCTGGGAGGATTAAGAATAGAGTGTAGTTGCTCAGACCTCATCTCTTTGCAAACATGGTCTTGAATCTTCCATTTCTTTGGTTATTGAGAAATGAATTCAGTTAAGTCCACAGTAATTACAACTTTTTTTTTTTTTTGTAGAAAAGCAAGCAGAGTAATTGTAACTTAATTGAAAATTCCACTAACTCTGAATCTGATTTCAAATGTAACCTCTTACAACAAAATACAGAACAAAAATCAGACATCATATTATTTCTTTATTGTATGTAACAGGCCATGAAATTACACAATGTTTCCAATTTGTCAGGCTGGTGAATTCAATCTCTTAAAAGATAACCGTGTTCCTTAAACTACCTGTGATATGAATTTGAGTTGAAACGTGTAAATTGGATACAATTAACTCCCACCGCTCCCCACAACAAATGGATTTGCTCTGAAATTGGCTTTTTTCTCTCTCCTGCTGCCTGGCACCAATTCCATGTTCCCTTGTTTCTTGTGAATTGTTACTATGCTTCCCCCAGTCTAATGACTATGGTTAGACTGTGTGGGCTTCCCTGAGTTATGTGAAATAAACAGACATGGGGAGGGGTGCGTGGAGCGGCCCAAGGCAATTACCTGCCTGTAAACTCGGGCGTCTCCTGGGTTCCTTCACACCTGGTGACGTACTGGCTCCCGGGCGATGCGGGGCCACTCTGGTGGTTTCTCCCCTTCACAGTGGACTGATGAATCATTGGTTCTCTCACAGGGTGACCTGTCTGTGTGCCCAGTTTGAGGCCGTCCTGCAGCATGGCTTGAAGAGGAGTCGCGGATTAGCGCTAACAGCAGCTGCGATCAAACAGGCAGCCGGCTTCTCCAGCAAAACGGAAACAGGTACTGCTCGGCCTCAGGTGGTGGCCCAGAGGATGCTGTCTTTCCTCTCTCCGTTTATTTTTATTTAATTGCGAGCAAGGCAGTCAATGTGTGGGACTGATGCGGGGGTGAGGTGGGGCAGGGCAGGGTGGTGCAGAAATTACGGGTAAGGATGTCTGACTTGTCGGTGATGGTGTTATCTGGCACCTTAATTTAAGTGAAGTCATCCTTTGTGAGGAATCCCTAGAGCCACGTGTTGCAGTCTCGGAAGCCTGCAGCGGAGCTGCTTATTTCACAGTGTGGTGAGGCAGTTGATGGGAAATTAATAACCTGTTTTAATATGATGCATGGGGATAGCATGATGTTTCATAATTAAATCTGTCTTTAATAACAGCAAGAGACCACACAGGTCTCTGAGCGTATACGTTCTGCTGCCATCCGCTTTAAAGTTGCCAAAGCATTTTCCAAGTGCCGTGCGCCTGTCTGTCTGAATGACAGAGGTAATGCTAATAATAATAATAACTGCTAACACTTGCAGGTATTTACTTAGTGCAAGCCTGGCACTTTGTCCGTCTTCTGTATAAATGAACTTGTTTAGTTCTGACAACAGCCCTGCGAGTAGTAGGCACCTTTATTTTCTCCACTGCACAGATGAGGATACCGCCGAGAGTGATTTGCTTTGGGCCTTACAAGGGATCCCATCATGTGAAAACCATCCCATACTGTTGTTCCAAACAAGATTTAAAACATTTAGACAGTTGCTTATTAGTTGGTTTCTAACTAATCAATTCAGTGAATTGGTTATGGTTGTCCAGTTACAAATGTTGCAGCCATGCAATCACCTGGGCATTATTTAAAAGTATTTACTGTTAAATGTGATACCCACCAAGAATGAAATAGAACTTTATGAAAACTGTGCAGTTGTGTGCATGTGTGTTTTAAGTTCCTTTTAATGTTGAATATTGTCACTGAATGAAATGGGTCAATAGACTGAAGATGAGGTGTTAAATTCAACCATTAGAATCACTTTTGGTATACCAAAACATGACAAATTATGAATTACACAAATACACATAAAAAACAACACCCCCCCCCAAAAAAAAAAACTGTCCTATGTCCCCCACCACACACCCCATTTATAGAGCACGCTCTTTTAGACTCTGCTTGTGGTTGTTACCTATAATTCCCAAATCTTCCTTGTTGTTGTGATATTAGTATAAAATGTGTCATTTTTGGCTAGTTTTCCTCTTTTCATAGCTAAAAACCACCTCACTGTGGTTGGTGAAGTTGTCGGTGACTAAAATTCTCTGCTGACTGAGCCTTTTGCCGTTCTTTCTTTCTCTTTTGTGTTGTCATGTCTCCCTTTTCTTTTTTGCCCTTCAACAAACCTTTGATTCCTGTTCATCTCACCGGTTGCTCATCTTCTCAAAGTATTGTCATTCCTGTTGGGGTCAGAGGAAGCTGCCAGAGGGATTCCTGTCACTGCTGATTTTTCTCCTGTGCTCCTGGGTTCCTCCTTTAAAATTAAGTCATGGACGTGCGGGGCTGGTCCAGAGAAACATCAGCCTCACTGCTGTCACCTCAGATGTCAGTCCTGTTGTCTCATGTCCAGGATGCTTCCCTGGGCTCCTGTATAGGGGTGGCTGAGGGCTCTGGGCTGGTTGAGAAGCTGTTCAAGGACATTGCTTTTCCCACAATCCCCTCGTTTCTATTGTCTGAGGGGCCGCTACCTTTCATGATCATGGTATCTCCCCCACCAGGTAAGTATGAGGGGGAACTACCGTAATGGCACTGGCGAGGCTCAGGCTCTGCTTCCATCCAGTCAGTGGCAGCTGCTGGCCATGGCAGAGGCAGCCTTGGGATTGGAGTCAGACTGTGAGGCTAAGTCTGGGAGGGTCCTGGAATATTCAGAGTTTTCGTTGTTTTCACTTGTAAAGGAGAGTAGTCTCGTCTATTTGGGGGCTTGTCAGGAGGATTCAGTGAGAATCTCCTGTGAAGATCTGCTTCCATTCATAACCTAATAAATGTTGAACCAATTGCCATCTTTCCTCAACACTCTTACCTTTAACCTCTTCCTGCATCTCATCTCCCTTAAGGCTCCCTGACCTTTTAGCCATGAAGAATGGCTCTTTCCATTCCAGCCAGACCAGAATTCTTGTCTTTTTGTTACTTGGTCCTGATAATCAGAGAGGTGCCAACACATTTGCATTTGCAAGGCATTTCCAGCACATGTTCTTGCTACTTCCCTGTATTTTAAGCATGATTTCTGTACCTACCGGTACATCCCAAGGAGGCGGATGAATGGGTCTCTGGCTCTGTTCTCCTCTGAGGAGGATGTGCTGGCCTGCCTGCCTCTGAGACTCTTAGAAGCAGGGAAAGACCAAACTGGGTTAGCGCTTGAGTGGCTGCCCGGGGCTTCTGCTGTCACTGTCAGCAGTGTTAGTGAACCATTCACCGGTGCAGAATAGTCCTTGGCTGATGAAAACCTCTTTCCTGCTGTTGAACGTGTGATTAAAAGCCTCACGAGAGAAGGGAGCCGTGGGCTTTCAACCAAGCGCTGGGAAAGATCAGATCAGTGGCTTCTTGAGGCTGTTAGAGCCACTGGAATGACCTTTCAGGCAGAGTGAAGCAAATGAGATCTGGTGGAAATGAGCATCGTTCTGTTCCTTCGCCCCTGCTGGCTGCTGGCTAGGCCCTTTATGTGGCTTAGCAGCTTATATCAGACTCTGCAGTCAGGCGACAGAGTTGAAATCTCTGTTCAGTGACTTGTCACACTTGAGGTCTCTGGAACCCCTTCCCCCCATGTTTCCTCATGTGCAAAATGAGGTTAATAACAGACTGCCTTGCAGGTGACCCCCTGAGAAAGTGCCTGCAAAGCCCAGGCCTTGGTACAGAGCTGCTGGAGCTGGTGCTTGATGGGAACTTGGCAATTACTTTCCAGAGTAGATGACGGTGTTCCTTATTTCTCAGAGGATGACAATGAGGCTCAAATAAGTTAATAAGCTGCCCAAGTTACCTACCACGCTGGTAAATGGCAGAGCTGAGGATTCCAACCCAGGTCAGATTGATGTCAAGCTCTTGGCTCTTCCCAGCTGCCCCCTCCTCTGGTAGTGGGCCTGATGCCCACTGTTGCTCCTCTGCAGACCACTCTAGCTCCCTGAACTGAGTTGAAAGTAACAGGAGAGAATAATAAGGGTGAATTAATCCACAAGGCTATTGCATTAACTCTGTTTACAAACGGGCGACATTACCTTTTGAAGAGAGAAAAGCTGAAAAAGTAATGGCTGACTAAAATGATGTTGAAAATCACAGTACCGTAGATTGTGCTGAGTCTGCCAGAGGCATGACTGCATTTGGTCATCTGGGGTTAAGGTCTGTGCGGGACTGAGTTTGGAAACTGGTGCCCTGTACAATATACGTAAAAAAAAAAAAATTTTTTTTTAAAGTTGCCAACGTTTAAAAAATATGAGATATTATGTTGAAATATGAATTTCTGACTTTTCTTAAACTTGAAGATCTGTGACTCTGGACCCACATGTGCTACTGATTTTGATTGGAGCCTGTTACTCCTGCCCTCCGTAGGTTGGGAAAAAGTACTCTAGTTCACCATGGTCTCCATCTCCCTTGATTGCCCTTGACACTTGAGATAAGAGTGTTGGTTGACATTTATTGTTGAACTTTTGTTCCTATTTCCATTGTTCCTATCTAAAATTCAGTAGTTTTTAAGTGTAAACATCTCTCAGATATAAGTCTTTGAAGTCAGTTTCCACAAATGTTTTGGTCTTCATTGTCTAGATTTAAAGTTGCTTTTTGGGAGGGGATTTGTTAATCTCACTTGGCTATAGCCAGAAATCCCTTATTTTTTGTTATTGTCTGGATTTTGAATATATTGTTGTCTTTGTAGATGCCTGGTATTTTCGACCAAATACAGATGCTGGGTATGAAGGATTGTAGAGTGATTTTGAAGCTTGAGGTGGTGTTATCTTTCTTCAGAAAGGATTTGCTGTTTCTTCTCAGGCAGGTAGAGTAGAGGGAAATCAGTTTAATTCAGTCAAGGATTGGGCCAGTTCACACCTGGGCTTCCGCATTTGTGAGGGCTCCTGTATTTCTGCTTCTGCCTTATTTCCAGAATATAGTTCTTTGGGCTTTTCAGTTGTTCAGAGCTTCCATACAAAATTTCCATACCCTGGGTGGCTTAAAAAACAGGGAGAAATTTATGCTCTCGCAGCTCCGGAGGCCAGGAGTCCAAAGTGTAGGTGTCAGCAGGGTTGGTTCCTCTTGAATGCTGTGAGACCGCACGTGTTCTCAGCTTCTGGTGGTTGACAGCAGTCCTTAATGCCAGCAGTGCCTGGAGTTCTTCGTTTGTAACTGTATCACTCCAGTGTCTGCCTCTGCCTTCACATGGCCTTTCCTCTGTGCCTCTCTCTGTGTCCTGCCCTCACCTCAGAAGAACACGAGTAAGATTGCATTTAGTTCCTACCCCACTCCAGTAGGACCACATTTTAACAAATTATATCTGCCTAGAGTCTTTTTTCAAATCAAGTCACATTCTGGGGTTCCAGGTGGACATGAATTTTTTGGGGACACAGTTTAGTCCGGTGCACAGCTGCACCCTTGAGGTGATTACCAGTGCTCTTTCTCCTCACATGCCCAAAACCTAGTTTCCTCTTAGCCCCAGTGGGAATATTGAAAGCTCAGCTTTCCTCTTCATGTGGGGAGCTCTATAGGGAAAAGCCTCGAGGGCAAAATAAGGCTCTAAATGTAGGTCTCATGTCTATGGACTTCTCTTCCGTCCTAGAAAAATGTTGTCTGGCTTTTTAAGTTGCTGTTGTGTCTAATCCAGGCTAACGTTCCATAGCTGAAAGATGTGCACCTTGTGTGTGACCATTTCCAGTTCCTGTTCTACAAATCAGGCAGCACATTTTTGTTCGGAGAGAAACTGTAGCTTGGGAAAGGGTTTGCAGGCAGTTTCCTTCAGTTTTGTGATGATTTCCATCAGTATCTGCAGATGTCTCCCATTT